CTGGGTCCAGCGTCCCTTAATAGCACATTAACCCTTCTCTAGTTAGTTACTTGCAAGGAACTCAGCAAACATCTAGCTAAGAATTGAATAGCACAGAGACTCAGCACCCTTCAGCAAACATCTAACTGAAAGTTGAACAGCACAGAGACTCAGCATCCTTCTCAAGTCAGTTACTTGCACTCCTTGCGGGTGTTCCGATGACAGACTGGAGGTTATGAACTCAGCAAACATCTAACTGAAAATTGAACAGCACAGAGACTCAGCCTTGCAGCCTGCTGAGTTTACTTACCAGGGAGTCAATCAATCAATCAATCAATCAATCAATCAATCAATCAATCAATCAATCAATCAATCAATCGCGGGGCGGGGCGACCCCGCCCCCACCAATCAATCAATCAACGAAAAAAAAAATTAAAAAAAATTGCGTTCATTTTTTTTTCTTTGATTTCTCCTCGTTCGCTGCCCAACCCCCCCAACCAAAAGATGCTTTTTTTCCATTTTTTTTTGTGTGTGGGGGTGGAGCAGGGGTTGCGCCGCCGAATGGCGGTTCCCGAATCCCGAGACCCCCTCCCCCGTGGCTGCCACATGGCGCCAAAGCCGCGCATCCGCGCGGACGCGTCCACGGGCTCGCGGACTTGGCCCCGCCTGTCCGCCGCCGGGGGGTATTCATAGGTTGTAAACGTTGCCCGAACTGCAATTGCAAACTGTATCTTAACCCATAATGCAATTATAATTTATTTTTGTGACTTCCGCGCGTAGTCCCCCCGCCCTCTCTCCCAAAAAGGTGGGAATGCAACATCGACGAACACATTCTCTAAAATTGCAGCAGAATGCGGTCCAGCGAACAACCTCAGAAGCCTTGAATGTGTTTCAACCTCATCTAAGGAACCAGCAGCTGCATTTGGACCCTTTCTAGAAAATATGCACAGTACATTGTGAGGCTTGTATCCTGTTAAACCGGCAGTACACGTCCCCAGCCTTGCAGAAAGTTTTTGCCGCCACAAGCAAAACTCAGAGGCGCCGCGCGGCCAGGCCCGCTGTTGAAAAAAAACATGCAAAAATTTTGACATGGCCCCAGCGCAAGGATGACATGCAAAAATTGATAATCGGTCCAAAAAATATATATATATATATATATATATTATATATATATATATATCGTCACAAACAGAACTGCCCCGTAAACCGTAGGCAGAGAGAGAGAAGAGGACAACAAACGAGGGGCTGTGACAAACTGTTTATATTATATATATTTCCCTGCCCCAAAACAATATTTTTACTCTCGTTCTTTTTTCTCTCTCTCGAATTTGGTTGTGAATTTGGAAATGAGCATCAGGCAAAAGTTGTTTGTATTGCAATACTGTACAGTTTATGTTTTTTTTCGGATTTTTTTAATTAAAAATCGAAATATCAAAACACCCAAAAATTCGAAACAATATTTGAATACATTTGACCGTACCTTCTATTTGCAAAAAAATTCAGCACTTTCTGGAAATCACTTTTTCAGAGGTAAGTTGAATAGCATGTACGTACGTTCTTTTCGGGTTAGACCACCAGTACTTGGCCCAGCTATAGGCCGGGGAAAACTATAGAGTAGAAACGTTTCTACTGGTATGAATCTGGGAGCTCCTGTAGTGGCCCGTACGTTTCCTAAAATCGTGGCCCGTACATTTCCTAAAGCCGACACTGGGAGGATGAGTAGAACGACGACAACGAAAACCGTAAATTTTTCGCTCGCAGCAATCTCTCCTAAGGATGAAAAAAAAAAGAGAGAGAGAGAGAGAGAGAGAGAGAGAGAGAGAGAGAGAGAGAGAGAGAGAGAGAGAGAGAGAGNAGAGAGAGAGAGAGAGAGAGAGAGAGAGAGAGAGAGAGAGAGAGAGAGAGAGAGAGAGAGAGAGCATCACTCCAGCGTTTTTCGGAGGAGGTATGAAGCAGCCTCTACACCTGTGGGTCATGGACGTAATCTATGGACTGGATAGACAAGGGACGCTTCGTCGCTCCGAATTCCACGCCTCGCACCACCTGAACGGTGAAATTCCTGCTCAACGACAGATTGAGACCTTCTAGACATATCCGGATAGGGAATGTGAAGGAGACTGGCATACTCATGCCTCCCGCCACGAGGAAACGAGCTCCGATATATCTGGGATTGCCCGCCCTTGGGGTGTTAACGCCGGCATCAGGCTGGTTGATGAACACGTATAGCGCCAAGGGCTCACCCTTTGAGTGAGCAACGTTGCGCAGGGTCAGTTCCGGTATCGCCCCACGCCGGGGAGTAGTGTCGGGAGACTGCACGAATGCAGTAGCGACGTTGGGGTCCTCAGCAGAGACAGTCGCCGAGGCTCGGTAAGTTTGAGGAACTGTTAGCGGCGGCCCTCCGGGCACGTCATTGTGTGCAACTGTACGACTGGGCCCAAGTTCCGCCCTGGTGGTCCAAGTGTTGGGCACATTCTCATAGACATACCTCAGATTGGTCGCGTGATCGAGGACGAATGACACTGCGATGATCCTTGCGGTGGCATTCTCGTCGTAAAAGACGAACCTTGAGTCGCGAAAATCCGCTGACGTGGGATCACTTCTGCCCGGCAACTGCCTCCACACGGACCACATCCTGTCCACGTTGGCATGGTGAGCATAGAACACAGGATCGTAACCCGCCCAGGCTAGATTACCCATGTCGGGGCTGCCGTTTGGCCCAACGGCGTTGTGCACCTGATTATGTCCATAAGTCTCAAGATTTCCATTACCTCCCGCCGTCCCTATGACGCTATCCGATTCCGGCACGTCACCGAAATTCATGAAGAGTTGGTCTCCTGTGATTTCGCTTTGAATCATGCTTTGGATGTCAGCTGCTGCCCTTCGCCTTGCTGAGTACAGAGCGGAGGTGGTGTCGGCATAGGAAGAGGGGAGGGCCTTCTGAGCAGCGGCATCGCTGTCCCAATTCCAAAAGGGCAGGGCAAAAGAGGCATCACCTGTCGCCCAGGCAAGAATGCGCTCGTGGTAGTAAAGGAGCATTCGGTGCCAGGGGAGAAAGAACCAGTTGCCGTGCATGTTGTATTCACTGCCATAGACTAGTTCGGAACAGAAGGCGCAGTGAAGTTTGCGCTGCTGTTCAAGACCTCGAGGGTCGTTGGGAGCGTCGCGCTCTAGTCTCCGAAGCGTTGCGTATGCAGCATTGAGTCTGGCGAGGTACGGTGCATCCTGGAGGACGGTCTGGAGTGCGCGGCGTGTGCGGAGCGGGGTGGAAGAGTTCAACGCGATGAAAGTGGACGGGGTGGAAGACGGAAGGCAGCATTCACTGCCGCTCGGATTGCAATTGGAGAGATTTGGCGGTCCGATGGGGTCAGCGGACACGAGTGACACGGGGCCGTTGCTGCTGCGGCCGCAGAGAAAGATCACCATAGCCACCACCATCACTATCGTCCTCATCATTCCTAGCCTGCGTGGTTGCACCAATGGGGGAAAAAAGACGGAAAGAACGACACAAGAAAAGGACAGATGCCTATCTTTCGTCAGTCTCTCGACCTCGTCGATCTACGTGCAGTGGTAGACAATAGAACAGGCATCCGTCCAGATCAGATGCGAGAGGGCGAGGAGATGCAGCTAGCAGGTGCGCAAGAGACTCCTTATCACCGCCACGTGCCACTGCCTCGTGTCACCCCCTCGTGTGATTCCCAGAAAGTGAGCTTTCTCTCGGTTTGCGAACGAGGGTGAGATCATAAGTGCGAGCGCAGAGCTAACTGCCAGCTAAGCAATCAGCCGAAATTACATTTTCACACACACACACACAAAAAAAAAAGACATAGTCTTGGAAACTCTAGTAATAAGAAGCCATCAGCCATGAATGAACTACCTCATTCCTGAGAGAGAGGGCGCTCCCTCTCATTACTTCGATCTCTGGTAACTTCCAGATGCTCACGAGCCGTTGCAGCGTCGCGAGTTCCAGCTCAGAGGAAGAGCCAACCAGATTTGACAGCTGCAGGGGCTCTCACACTGCTCGTGCACGACTCATTGGCGCAGGTGCCCGCAGCTCATCCAAGCTGGCAGCGCATGGCTCCACCAGGGTGCACGTGGCAGTAGTCGGTGCTCCCGCTCGATAGTCGAAGTTGGACAGAATAAGCAACCACTCCTAAGGAAGAGGGAAGCCAAAAGGGCGTAATTAGTAGAAGGCCAAAGAAAGAGAGACGCACGCTACGCTTCCAATCGCATAACCGCCAAGGCCTGTAATTACAGCCGGAAGCTTCAAAGAGCAGTCCGTTTTATAAGCACTACGCTAAGAAGGAAGGAAGGAAGGATGGTAGGAAAAAACAGTGTGCGCATGTGCAGCGCGTAATTGTTTGGAGTCATGGAGGGACGGACTGAGAGTTAGACTTTCCTGAACGTATCCGGCCGCAACTACGTCCGCATGCAGTCAAAACAGTTCAGGTGCAAGAATGTGCTAACTCGGTTAACAAAGGGTGAAACTCCGTCATTAGGAGAAGACACCTGCTTGTTTACAGCCAGTGTATAAGCTAACCAAAGTCTTACCTGATTAGAACTTTTGTGTGTGTGTGTGTGTGTGTGTGTGTGTGTGTGTGTGTGTG